TATTTATTATTAACCCATTTTAATTTTAGGTCTTTCTTCTGATTGGGGTGTTTTTTGCATAGCTTTTCTATAACTTATTGTTTGGCTTGATCTTATGACTACTTCGGGTTTTGTCATTAGACCTAGAGCTTCCTTCTTGTACTACTATTTCCCCCTTTACATAATAGTACTCAGTCTATCCTCATTCTTATGACTTTGCTTTAGATCCTTCCTGTTACTATAAGTAGAGCAGGTTTGATATTGTGGTCTATTAGTTTTATATTGATAAGCTTTCTTTAGTTCTCCAGACCTACAATTATGCTGGATGCTTGGAACTAATATAGTATTATGATAATATTTTCTGCTTTCATATTCAGTGATAATTTTTTCAATCTTGCTGATTAGTAACTCCCTGAATTGTCATATATTTATTTCTATTGTCATGAGTAATTAGGTTTTTAGGGTAGTTTGATCTTATAGTTATAATTGTTTGAGGTAATAGTTTAGATTGGTATTGTGATTTGGATGATTAGAGAAGTTCAATCTCACAGTTACCACCAAATGTAAAAGTGTGAAATAATCTTCTGGTCCTCGATAATACTGATATACACTACAACACAATACTAAAACTAACTAAACTACTTAACCAGAACACCACAACTAATACAAACAAATCTCTAATATTAGTAAGGCAATGATCGAGGCATGGAGAAACTTGGTTTGAGTAACTAGGGTGAATTGGGTTCTTAGTAATAGTGCCGGATTAGAGCTCTTGATTACATCATGAATCTCTTTACACAGAGTCACTGGATTTGGTTACGAATTCCAATCATTATTTACAGATTGCACTTATCAAGAGGATAAATCACAAGTTAAATACTCTAATTTCTTTAACCTGGAACTTCAAAGTTTTATGCTATAGGAGTGAATCACAAATCAAATACTCTAATTTCTTTGACTTAGAACTTTGAACTCCACCGAGTTATCGAACTTACTGAGTTATTACAAGAGGGTATAATGGGGTCAAAGACAAACACTAAGTTATAGAAAAGCTATGCAAAAAACACCCCAATCAGAAGAAAGACCTAAAATTAAAATGGGTTAATAATAAATA